CCTGCGCGCTGCGCTGGGAGCCGGGGGGAGCCCCTCCGGGCCTCCTGCCCAGGTGGGGCCTCCTGCCCAGGTGGGGCCTTGTGCCCCGTTGAGGGGGGTGTCCTTGTCCCCGGAGGGTGGAAGTGAGCCCTGACCGCTGTGCTGCGGGGCCCAGGAGCTGGGGTCCTGCACTGGCCCTCTGACTGCAGGTGCTGCGGGGTGTCCTGGGGTGCGATTCCATTTGGAGAGGTGGCCTGAAACCCACTGTGGGACCTGCTTGGCCAGCTCCACTGTCAGGATTGGGCAGAGAAGGCCCTATTGCCTGGAGGCCCGCGTGCGGGTGGGGGAAGGCATTGCCTTTGAGACGTGGTGTGTGCGAAACTTCTTTTTTCATTCTTACTCATCATCTGTCTTTCCTTTTTTTCTGCCAGAAGAGTCAGTTTTCTCCTGTGGAGGTGCACAGCTTTAGCCTCGATTTCCTGGATCTGGTAACATGGCAAAAGATGTAAGTATTTCTGCTTCTTGTGGCAGACAGGTGTCAGCAGGGCTCGTTCTTGGGGGCTTTCCCTTTATTTCAGGAGGCAGCACGTGGACTGCGGTAGTATACATTTTCAGACTTCTGAGCCCAGGTGGCAGGATAGAGGTGAGAGATGAAGGGGTCCAGTGCTTCCTGCTCTTTGGCACTCCAGCGCCTGGTGCACCTTGCAGAGTGCTCCGGTGATCCCTGGCAGTGGTTTCTATACCTCCAGACTGCACTGAATCTATATGTGCAGACCCACCCTTTGTCCAGGGAGGTGGAGGGTGTTGCAGGCTCTGTGGCCTTGTGCACAGGAGGGCTGGCTGGCACCCAGGGGCCTGGGGCTCGGGCTGCGTCTGTCTTGCATATGGTGGAGGACAGAAATTCAGCCTTGCTGGGTCTGTTTTCTCAGAAGGGTGGTGTTTGGTGATAATGAAATGTGGTACACTGTGCTAGTTAGTTTAGCTTTGGTAGCCTTGAAACTGTTGGATATCCTGAGTAACTTTTAAAACTGGGATGGAGAAATAGACTCTTAGGTCTGGAAATTGTAGTCGATGCTATTGGTCCTATAGTTCTTCGTAATATCTGTGTCATTGCCTTATGCCAGCGGTACCCTTGTGTTCCTGGGAATGTAGTGTTCCAGAAGCATTTATGTATGTATTTTTCACTATGCATAGTTGGAAACAGGCAGGTGAGCTGCCTGAGACAGAACACAGGGGTGTGGTGGGAACGCATCCACAGCGCTGCCCCGGAGAGCCTGTGTGAACCCGCCTGTCGGCAGAGGCTCTGCGAGTCCCAGGGGAGCCAGGCCCAGGGAGGCACGTCCCTGCAGGTAGGCCAGTGTGGCTAGCTGATGTCGCAGTGTGTAAGTGCTGTTGGTCGAGGGCCGTGCCCTCCTCTCTTGTGTGCATGCCCTAAAGGTGCAAGCGCCTGGGCACATGATCAGAAAGCAGCCGATGCCTTAGGTGGTCTAAAGTGGGGATGGGGTCCCCGTGACCTGTGTGGGTGCTTCTGGGTGCTGTGATCACCTTATTGAGCACACGTCACTGACGCAGTCTGAGGCCCTCTTAATTCCACGTCATCTGCTTGGCACTGTGCGCATGGTGTGTACACCATGAGGCTCCCATGGATGTGTTGGCTGTGGTCAGGCTTGGCTCTGTCTGGTTGAGGAAGACTAAGTCCCTGGACATGGCCACATGTCAAGTGAGGTGGGCTGGTGCAGGGTGGGCCCAGCCCCAGCTGGTCTTGGGTCATTCACTATGGTGATGGGGCGATGCTGTGAAGGCCGAGGAATAGCTGGGTAGAGGGGCAGATGGCCTTCCCTGTTGAGGCTGGGCCTGGAGGTTGTGGACAGGTCAAGGGCTGCACCTGTTCTCTAGCCAACCCATTTCCTTAAAGTAGGGGCATGACATTTGAGTTTCAGCAGGGCCTTTGCAGCTGGCACCGGAGGAGACATAGAGGCACACTGAGGTTTTCTAAGCAGTGCACTGGTGAGTGTTGGGAGCCCAGCCTGTTGGAGGGAGTGGCTGGGACCCACTGGGCAGAGCCTGAGGTTTCATGGAGGACCCTGGGGCCCAGGGAGGGGACAGACCAGGAGACCATGAGGGTTGGTGGAAGACTGTGAAGAGGAGAGGGAGCGCTGGCCACATGCTGGCCCTGTGATACCAGCAAGTCTGGGGAGGACCCCGTGTATGTAGTACAGCGAAGAACAGGGTTGTGCAGAGCCCAGCACAGGAGCATCTGAGCAGTGGTGATGATGGGCAGTGGGCGCCCGAGGCTGGACATACCCACGAGGGAGAAGAAAGGTGGTCTGGGAGGACGTGGGGAGGGAGTAGGCGGGTGGGCGATGGTGTGCTCAGTGAAGGCAGGCCACCTTGCTCAGGGTTGGGCTTCAGGGCCATGCATGAGTGCCTGTGGCCTGCACGGTCAATGTCCTCTCTTGGGGTCTCCCCTAGTGCTCACTGCCTGGGGAGCTGTGACCACTGGCCAGCCCAACTTGTCATGACAGGAAAGTTTGTAAGTGGTGAGGGAGGGGTGTCATTTCACACAGTGCTGAGGGGAGGGAGCCTCTGCTGAATGGAGCCCATGGCCACCTCTGAGCTCCGCTGCCGTTTGTGGGGAGAAAGATGTGCACCAGTATAGCCAGTCCTCTGCAGTTCTGCACTTGCCATTTCAACCAACTGCAAGTGGAAAATGTTTTCAAAACCCTGCATCTGCACTGGACATGTAGTCTCTTTGCACGTTGCTATTCTCTGGACAAGGCAGAGTGGCCGCTGTCAGCGCAGTGTCTGCAAGTGCTGGGTACCTGAGACATCTGGAAATGATCTGAAGTCCGCAGGACACATGTGTGGTCACATGCAAGCCCCGAGCACATTATGGGAGCCCTTGGAGCTTTGGTGGGTCTCAGTGTCCATCAAGATCTTGGAGCCATCTCTGTGGATACTGGGGGATGACCATGTGTTCTGGGAGCACATGTGGGTCACTGGTCCTTTGTCCTGCAGAGAGCATGGCTGTGTGAGTGGGTGCCTGGGTCCAGTCCCTTGGATGCCTGGACTGTGCTGCCTGGTTGTGTACTGGGGTTTCTGGAAAAATCTTCAAGTGTTCTTTGAGAGCAGAGAGCAAAGGGAGCCATGTCACGGTCTCAGCTCTCCGTGGTGTAACCAAGAGACCTAGTTAATGTCTGGAGCAGATGATGACTTTACCAAGACGCTGTGCACCTCGCAGGCCTAGACGGAAAGGGGCCCTGCTGTCCCTGTGGCCGTGGGAGAGCAGGTACAGCATTAGTGCCTGGGCCTGACGGGATGGAGGGACCTCGTGGAGCTGAGCAGGCTGCAGGTGTCGTCCTGGGCCAGGCTGTTCTCCAGGGGAGGAAGGTGGAGAGACCCCAAGTGGCGTGGAAGCCAACAGCAGCTCTGGGAACCTGGTGCTTAGGCCAGTGGGCAGTCTGGGCGCAGGGCCAGGAGAAAGACAGGCCCTCTTCACTGAGTCCACCCTTTCTAATCTTTGTTGTTTCAAGGTGCTGAGGTTCGAGCCCGGCCTGAGCTTTTGGAGCACAGTGCCTCTGAGCTGACCCAGGCTTGGCTCTTCCAGCCATTCTGTTGGTGGGGGGTGTGTGGTCTGCAGTCCTCATGCCCGTCCACCTGCAGGATGTGTGCATGTGCTCTGGGTGAGAGTTCTCAAAATCGCCCGGTTACGCGGATGCTCTCACACTCAGTATTTAAGGAGTTAATTCATTGTTTTTCATCATAGAATAGTTAGAAAATTCACTTTGGAGTTGCTACTTGGCTTGCCTTGGGTGGAGTTCTGCTGTTTGTTGGAGGGACCTGATGTCTTCAGTCTTGCTCAGACAGGCCCCAGTAAGGTCTGAGGGCCAGCTGGCCGTTGGCCTTCTATCTGGTTTGTGTGTTGGCCCTAATGGAGCCTGATTCTTCATCTTTGAGCTGGGTCAGTGAATGCTCACTGGCTGAGCCTCTGCACGTCCTGCCCACCAAGGGTGTGCTTGAGGATGCTGACCTGGGTTTCCGGGTCACGGGGATTGGGCTAGAGACTCCGAGACCTGAGTGGAGAGCCATGCCTGCCTCCCCACAGCCTGTTACTTGAGCTCTGGTCTCTGTCAGTGGTGTATGGGAATGACCCACGTGCACCTCTGTGGCCCTGGCACAGCCTGCTTGAGTCGGGAGCTTGCCCTGGTGTCCCGGGCTCCCATTAGGTCATAGCCCCTGGGTCCAGAAAGCAAGACCGATGGCCCTGAGACGTGGGCAGGAAGATAGCCAGATGCCCAGGCCAGCCCTGCTCCGGCTCTGCCCTGCCTGCCCTCCACGTGTCTGCAGGGGATGTCCTACGTTCCTAGGTCTGTTCTGGGTGGCGGGCAGCTCCTGGTGGAGACTGGGTGCTGTTCTCTCTGAGCCGCTGTTGGCTGGTCACGGTGGGCTGTGCTGCCCGTCACTGTTGGGCATTAGTGGAGTTCCACGGGAGTTTTAATCCAGCCGAGTTCTTCTCATGATGAGAGTTTTGGGGAGTCCTGGGAAAGCAGCCGGAAGAGAAAGCTCTTTGCCTGTGAGCACCTGGTTGGGTCTCCACTTAGTGGGCCACAGGGGCTGGACTGCCCACCTGTCTGACTTCTCCACGCTGGCCACTTTTTTCAGCAGCTGTCTATTTGACGTGCTGCGGGATGGTAGGTGGTCAGTTGTTGGAACACAGCGGACCTGGACCTTAGTTCACTTCAGGCCAGTGGATGCCATAGTCCTGTGGTGGACATAGTCACGTGTCTCCTGTGGAAGCCTCTCCTGGGAACCAGGTCCTCTGCACAGTCCATTTCCGGGACACCAGTCTGATTTCTGCAGGATGAATAGGGAGCAAAAAGATATTTAAAGACCCACACACACCCTCCTGGACTGTCTGCAAGTGTCCCAGCTCTTAAGAGCAAACACAGCTGGCAGCAGCAGGTGTGGGGGAGAGTGGGCTGAGTCCTGGCCGTCTGTGGACGCCCAGTGCTTCCAGCAGGTTTGCACACATCTACAGGGATCTTTATCACAGATCCTTGGAGGTGTGTGAACGTGTGCATTTACACATGCCGTGCCTTTGAGGTGTGAGTCCTGGGGAAGTTTGGGCCAGGTTTGCCCTGTGTGCTTCAGACAGCAGGACGTGACTCTGCTGCCGGCACTCTGTTTCCACGTGGAGTAGATGGCCATGTCCAGGCCCACGGAGTCCGCAGTTTGACGGGTGAAAGTAGGAATTGCATCTTGTTTCAGCTGGCCTTTTTACACTTGGTGCGTGTGTCCTGTCCTCATTGTCTTTACCTGTTTCATGTTGACTTGCATGGACTCATTTGTTTAAGCCTGAGTGGATATCTTTTTTTTTTTGGCATCAGGGATTGAACCCTGGGTGCTTAACCCCTGAGCCACATCCCCAGTCCTTTATATTTTTTGAGACAGGGTCACACTGAGTTGCTTAGGGCCTCACCACTGCTGAGGCTGGTTTTGAACTTG